ATTTCTAATTCTATGTATGTGTCGAATCTACTGGAGCTACCTACAGCTTGCCCCTCATCCCGGCCTCCCCCACTAGCTTCTTCTCCAAGAGCCCGCGCGGGGCCGCACCTGCCGGGCCCCCCCCCCCCCCCCCCCCTCGAACTCCATCATCGCCTCGAGCTGGCGGGGGAGAACGAGACCGATGAGGTCGTGGTGGAAGTGGCATGAGATGATGGCCTTGGCATTCCCCCCTTTCATCGCCTTGAGCACCCTCGCCCTGAAATACGGGATCTCTCTGCCCAGCTTCTGCGCCGTGATGCCCTTGGCGAAGAACTCCTTCCTCTCGCCCAGCAGCTTCACGTGGTCTGGCGGAGCGCCCTCGGCAAACTGCTTGCTGCGCCCGTGCACGCGCAGGGGCCCGCGAAGCCTGCGGTCGACGGAGTGACCTCCCTTCTCGAGCTTCACCCACTCGGCGCCGTTGTACTTCATCCCTGCCGCTTTGCCTGCTGCCGCCATGCCCACCGACACGTCGCACCTGGGGTACAGGGCGCTCTTTGACATCGCGGGCCAAGGAGAATATCACCCTGTCGTTGGCCTTTGAAACGCCTGCTCCTTTCTCGGCGCGCCTGCGCTACGGCAGGCCCCCCTCGGCTCCTTCGGCAGGACGCTTCACGTCTGCTGTCTGGGCCGTCGAAGGACTGGACCACGAGAGAGGCTCCACGGGCAGCGACGGCGGCGCGCCCACGGAAATCCGCAACGCATGGGAGCGGCCGAAAGGGAAGGCGCGCGCACAAATGTTCACAGAAATCGTCGAGACTCGATCCGTCGAACTCGCAAACGGGGCACTGGAAGGAGGTCACGGGGATCAGCTCTTTCAAAGCCGAGGGGCCCACGGTTTGACAATGCCCACGGAACATAGATCACATTACATGTTTGGCTGCGTTTGCTTTGCATGCGAATAGTTGCCTGCAGTGTACGCATATGTTTGTTGGCGTAATGAGGTGACATACTTTCCTGAGCCCATGAGTTCCCCTGAGGTGGTTCATGAGGTCCCTGCGGTTACCAAACGATGCCACACAAACCTCAGCGGGGTTCTCCTCAGAGGGGAGCCAGCATTTCCAAGGTAGAGGGGCAGGAGGAGTCTCTTCTTCCAGCACACGGGGCGCATGTGGCACCGATGCAAAGTCTGCGGGCGCGATCTCCACAGCGTAGTGTCTCGATCTGTACGCGGAGACATCCACGCCAGCAAAGAATGAGGCAGTCGCCTCGTCGAGCAGCAGCCTGAAGTCCCGAGCGACTTCGTCAAAAACTGCCTGATCCAGCTCCTGAGCCACGCTCTGAAGATCGGCCCGCAGCTGGAATGCCCAGGGACATGCAGACGGATTTAAACCTCCCGGGTCGTCGAGAGGCCCCATTTGTTCATTAGGAAGATCCCCGAACAGTGCACATATAACCTGAAGGTGGTGAAGGGGCCGTCGGGCCCAACTCTGAACTAAACGAACTCGCCGAATACGTAACTCCAGGGTGGGATGAGAGTCTCCGAAATCTCAAAAGCTCTCCATTAGTCCATGTGTGAGGGTGACTTCCTGACCAGTCGGTGGCCTTTCCAGCCATCGCAATACGACAAAATCGAGCAAGAGCGGCCTCGAGCCGAGAGTACTCAGAAGCAGTCAGCACGAAAGCCTCGAGGCCACTCAAGAGAGAGTTGTAGGCGAAGCCCTGGAATAATAAACGTTTAAATTTCCACTGCAGGTCCAATTGCCAGACAGAGCCCAGAGATCCAAATGAAACCCAAGCAGCATTGATACGCCTATCAATTGCATGGTGCGCACTATCCCGAAGAACAACATGTGGCCCCAGGTACCTGACTTGTTCCCTGATGGAGCCCTGGAGGTCCACCCCGCCTTTCCTGAGTATCTGTTTTAAGTAAGTACTGTGAACCCCGAAGTGCATCATAAATTCTTGTTTGGACAAAGTCTGTCCGAACCCACATGGGTCCAGTCTACTGTTCGAAAGTATGTCGTGCTTCTTAATCTTGTTCACAGAGTCAGGGAGGGTCGAGCCATAATCTGCCAAAATAAAATTATGTAAATCATCAGCATACTTCAATAAACTCAACCCGACTCGGCGTCCCTCCCAGGAAGAAACTAGCTCGCTGCTGCAAGGGTCGTCGTGCTATACATCCCCGCGCCAATCATCAATGGGTTGTCTGAAGGTCCCGTTGAAAGCTTGAACAATGCACGGGTCCCCCACGAGCCCGCCCTGCTGGTTCTTGAGTGCGATCCCCCCACCCTCCCCAGCAGATAGAGGAACAACCACCTCGCGGTACCGAAGGCGACAAACTGCCCGGTCCTCGGGCGCGACATATCCCTCAACTGCAGCGTCCATTCGCCCCCACGAACTGCTGGCGAACGCAGTACTCAAATCTTTGAAGCACATGCAGAATGTTCGTCGAGATCGGCGAAGGCGATGCGATACCGTGTTGGATACAAAAATAGCTGTCTCTCTTTGCCGCTCTCGAACGAACCCATAGCCGGCCTGGCCTGGCTGAAATTGAAACTTTCTCGCAAAGTACGCCTTTCCAGGAACAGGGAGAATGTGAACAACTCGTTTTCCTAGTGGGCCTCTTCGGTGACTCTTATGAAAAGGAGCCCCGAGACTGCAGTTCCAATACTTCGGGATCATCTTGTAGGACCGTATCTTCTGGAGCCCAAGAAGAGCCAAATACCAGAACACACGATTGTCAGGGGCTTTGTTTGGGGCCCCCAGACCTTCCACTTTAGTTCTTCTCCAGTTAGGATACAGCACCGCATGCCAGAGCTCAAGCGGGGCACAAAAACCAGGTACTGCACGGCGCTTGGGGGCCGATCTTATATATCCACGCATCTGAGAGAGGTCCTCCTCCGCCAGCTCCAACACCTCCTCGTCCTCAATGAGAGGGTAATCCTCATCGTGCTCCTCCCTCCACGCCTCCCAGTCGATCTTAGTGCATTTCATGCCCCCGTCCTTGCCCCCCCCTCATCCATACCTCCTTCCAAGCCTGAGCTGTAGGTAAGTTGGCACATGCAAGACGGCCGTCTCTGCGCTTGGGGCCATATCGGCGCGATGCAGCACGGCGTGCAGTCGACATAGCTTCAGCAACTCTACGATGCTTCCAATGCTCGGAACTCTCCTCCACTAATCTGGCCCTCCTCCTTCTCACAGCTTGTCTCCTCAGCTTACAAATTCGAGATGAGATATCGCGGAGTTGCTGACCAATAACTTCAATCTCGGCCTCGTCGCACTCCAGCTTCTGGCCACGGGTTTCGGTCCGCTCCTTCAAAAGCCTGCGACGCCATTTGCTGCACAGCTGGAACTCTGGGTCTGCCGTTGAGGCCTTTGAAAAGACTTGCTCACCAGCGGAGCGCAATGCAGATTCGACGGCTTCGAAAATCTCATCGGGTGAAGCGTGGTCCCGCAGCCAGTGAATATGAACATTCTGAAACTCAAGCCGAAGTGCCTCTAAAAATTCAAGGCGACGTGTCCCATGCCTAAGAGCTTGCATCATAGCTTCTCTGCCCCAAGAAATGTTATTCTCCTCATCCTCCTCCTCCTGATATTGATCGCCCTTGTTATAATACAGAACTAAAGCGACAGGTAGATGGTCCTTTGGCGGTGGCCCACGCACAGGTTGGAGTTTTGCCCCCAGGCGTCTCAGCGTAGAACAGGAACGGATCAGGTGTTTCATCCCGAGCGGGCAGCAAACATAGTCTATCCTCGAATTCGCGTTGTTCCCGAAGAACGTTGAAACCACATCGGCCCCGTGTGTGTTGGCAGCCCAGAGATGGTGGTGTTCAAGAAGTTCCCTAAAACGCTGGCCAGCAGCATTCGGAAGCCGTTCTCGATTTGCCGAACCCAGGGAGTCCGTCGTACATTCGATCCAAGAACCATCTCTGCTCATTAAGCCCATCCCGTCATTGAGGTCAGAAATGAGGGGGGTACATCGAACAGGCAACGCATCCAGGACACTCTTTAGCCAAGCAATAATAACAGCAGTAGCTCTAAAATACGCTCCACGTTGCTTGCGTTGTGTAGGCTGGGGTGGAAAATAAACACTCACCACGCATATGTCAAGAACTGCCTTCTTCACCCTCACTGCGATAGCTCTACCAAGTGCCTCTGGTGGGCATCTCCAAATTCTCAGTACATGTTTTTCTTGCACCCGATGCGGAAGCACGACGGCCACTCCGCAAGCGTTGTTCGAGAACGGAGCCTTGCCATACGGTGCCTCATACACGAGTCGCCCCTTGATCGTGCGCTTGAGCGTGCACTCGCCCGAGCTCACTGTGTTTTTCGTGCCTGCGAGGGCGATCACGTCAAAGTTCCCCACCTCCTGCAATATCTCCTCCATTCGGTAGAAACCCGCAGACATAGGATTGTGACCAAGAAACCGCAACATGGCCCCCGCCGCGGGCTGGAGTGCGGGCGCGGGGGGGAACACCGCACTCTCTACATAGTGGGATGTCTGTCTCGCCCGAAACTGCAATCTGGGCCTCGGGGGCTAGGAGGAGGAGGAGGAGGAGGAGGAGGAGGAGGAGGAGGAGGAGGAGGAGGAGGAGGAGGAAGGGATGAGGAGGAGCAGGAGGAAGAGAAGGAGGAAGAGGAGGAGGGGGAGGAAGAGGAGGAGGAGGAAGAGGAGGAGAGAGCAGGTGGGAACAGGAGGAGGAGGAGAAGGAGCACCCCGACGTCCTCGTCCTGGGCACGCTCGTCCTGGGCCCGCGGGACTTCCGCTCCAGGCCACCCTGCCCGCGCACCTCTCCTGGGCCTCGTCGTGGCTTCCCTCGCCTCTCCGCCGCTCCGGCCCCACGGCCCCCCGTGCACATCTCGGGCGCGACGGGCTCGACCGAGAGATGGAGCCTCGGGGATGGGCCCTCGGTGCGGCACCTGCACCCCCCAGGAAGCAAGCCATCGGCGAGGCGAGGCCGTTCGGCCAAGTCCGAGGCGTCTGGCGCTGCCTCCCCCCCCCACCCCCCTCCCGCGGCCTCGCGGGCATAGTTCTCGTCGGCGTAGGAGAGGCTGTCGTCGAAAGCGAAGCTGCCCGCGTACGTGAGGTACTCGCCCATCAGCGGCGCGAACGTCACTTCCCTCAGCACGTCCCGGTAATTCCCGAAGGCGTGGCGCACGAATATGTCGTAGTAGTTGGTCCACATCTCGGTGAAGTAGTCGTGGCCGCCCAGGGAGGAACCGATGACGAAGATCTGGGAGAGGGCCCAGGCCACCCGTTGGCGCAGCTGGTCGGTTGCGTGCAAGGCCAAATTCAGCCAGACCGCACCCCGGGCGAGGCCCGTGGTCAGCGGCGGCCACTTAAACATATGGGTGCCATACCTGTTGTCATACACGTAGTCGGGCGGCGAGCCGACTGGGGGCGCGAGCCACCCAGAGGCGCGGATCGGGAACTGGTGCCCCCCTGTCCCAGCGTTCGAGACCTCGCCCGGTGAGCCGCACAGGTGCCCGTCGATGCCGAAGTCGAGCGCGCCGTCCTCCGGCTGCAGCTGGCAGGTGTGGTCCTCGAGGGCCAGCCTGGTCTCGTGCCGGTAGAAATGCCCGCCCTGCAGTATGAACCTGGACAGGCCGGGGGGAGAGGGCGGGACGGAGAGTCAAAGCCTGGAAGGAGGGGGGAGAGGGCGGGACCGCAGGGACCCGCGCAACCCTGCCGCTGCTCCCTCCCGCGGGAGCCCCTTGCTGTCGAGGTTGCAGTTCTGCGCGTCCTCCCTCAAGAAGATGAGCCCCTGCCTCCAGCTGGCCTGGTCAAACGGCAGGGTGGTCGGCACGGCCACCGACGCGTCCGCGAACCAGATGGCGGGATTGTACAGATAGATCCTCACACCCCACGGCGAGCAATCCGACTGCGTGCCCAGCACGACCATCCCGCCGACCTCCTCCTGCACGAGGCAGACGAAGCCACCCCAACCATTCCGGGAGGGCCATCCGCCCGAGCAGTCGTCCCCGTCGTAGCCGTTGCCTGCGTCGAAGCAGCTCTGCTGGCAATACTTGCTCGCGACCCAGTCGTTGTCGTACTTGCACGCCCCGTGGGCGCTGCAGGCCTCGTTCTCAGAGACCATCTGCGGCGTAGGGACATCCGTGCACGTCATCGGCGCGCTGAGGCCGTTGTTGGCGTAACCCGCATCGATGTCCGTCCGCGCCACGTTGCCGATCAAGACCTTCCCACCGCTAATGAAGATGCTCGACCCTATGTCGTCTCTTGTCAGCGCGTACCCGTGCCAGCGGGAGCCTTTCGTGCAAATGGGCCTCTCCGCCAAATTGATGTGTGCGGTGTCGCTGTTCTTCCGTGGGCTGACGCGCTTGCGGTAGTACTCCCGGTGGGAGCTAGCTGGCAGCTGCATCTGCTCCTGGACCCAATCAGGATAGCTTTTCCCACTCAGCTCCTGCAGAGTCTCCTTCGTCGGCCCGAAGGTGGCGTGCAGCAGAAACCTGGCGTCGTCCGCCTCGCCCCTCACGGAGGGGGGCAATGTAGGGGCCGCCGTCGGAGTCGCCGTCGGTGGAGCTGGTGTCGGAGCCGCCGTTGGCGGAGCTGGTGTCGGAAAGACTGTCGGAAGTGCCGTCGGAGCTGCCGTCGGTACTGCTGGAGTTGGCATCGGCGTCGGCGCTCCTGTCGGATATTCTGTTGGATGTCCTGTCGGAGCTGCCGTCGGGTCCATCGTTGGTGCCACTACAGGAGCTGAAGTTGGAGCGCCCCCTGGGCAACTTGCGGGGTCATGGATCACGGTGCCGACTCCAGCAGAGATGGCCCAATATGTTTCAGGGTAACATTTAACCCACTCCAGCAGATACACACACTTGTCTCCATGGTGCGCCTGACCTGCACCCCGGCCGTCCGTCATCGTTGTGCACTTCGCGCAATTGTTGTTCAACGATTCCCCCTGATACGTAATGTCGCATCCAGATGGCCACACGGTTGTCTCTGTCGGAACCGCCGTTGGGGCTGGCGTCGGAGCCACCGAAGGAGCTACTGTCGGGGTCGAAGTTGCCACGGAGGGCGGCGGAGTGGGCGCCAGACTCGGGGACGACGAGGGCGAGGCAGGCGTGGGAGACGGGGCAGGAGCCGCTGCCGTTGGAGACGGGGTGGGGGAAAGGGTGGGCAGCGGGGTGGGTGCGGTCGGCGCGGGCGTGGCACCGGTGTCGAAGAGCGTCTCGGTGGGGATGATGTGATGGGAGAGGTTGAACCTATGTAGATTTGGGAACGCCTTGTCGTGACCGTATTCGAGCCCCATCCACTCCGCGATGGGTACCATCATGCTCTCCCACGGGTACTTGGGGATGGTGCGCCCACGCCCCACGTGGTACTGGTGGTCGGGAGTCTCCAGGTACGAATCCAGGAACTCGTTCAGAATCTGTCCGCCGCGAACGGCGCCCCCGAGAACAAAGTGGTTACCTCCCCACCCGTGGTCGGTGCCAGCTCCGTTCGACGTCAGGGTGCGCCCGAAATCCGACTGGGAAACCACAACAACGCTGTTAAAGATG